AAAATTATTATTATTTATTTTAAATAATCTTAGTAAACTTAAATTAGTTAATTATTTTTTGAATTTGAGTTTAGTTTAAATTTAGCAATTCGAAAAATTTTAAAAATGAATTTCAAAAAGATATTATTTTGATTTTAATTAAATAATTTGTTTGTTTTATACTTTAATCTTTGGTTTTACAATTTGTGATTAGGGAGTTTTTTAACGAGACCATTTTACTTGCGTTAATATCTAATCATACAAAACACCTTTTTTAACAACAAAATAATATCCGATTTCTTTATATCTTCAACTCATTCTTCATTTTAAGTTCATTTTTTTTATCAAAATTGAATAATATGCTTCTAAACACCGTAGAATACTTATATAACTTCAATTTTTATTTTTGAAAATAAATTCTCTACTTTATATGATTTCATCATTTCCCCATTTCCTCATTCGTTTTAAATATATTTTTAATTAAATTAGACCCACATGTTCTTCTGCCACTATAAAATACATATGCAACTTCAATTATTAACTACAATTTCTTTTTTACTTTTGGATAAGATGGAACTGTATTATTTGTTGAAGAGCAATGTTGAGTTGTAGATAACATGGTATAATATCAAATTGTGAGGAATCATATGTACATTCTAATTCAAGTACAATTTTCCTTTTTAAAAAAGAACAATCTCAATGGCATCTTATCAAAAATTTTCAAGGTTAGAAAAAAATTATTAATTGGTTCCACTCCTAGTGATTTTATGACTCAACCTAAAGTATTCCATAGAAAACCTTTCCATGAGATGACTAGTGATGGGATTGGGTCGGGTTTCGGCAAATTCGATGCGACTCAAAAATTTTACATCATTTATCCGACTCGATTCGACCCAAAAAATATATACCCTCCACCCGACTCGAATCTGACCCGACTATTTGAGATAAAATCCGAATCCGATCCGACCCTACCCAAAATAATAATAAAAATATTATATATTCAATAAAAAATTATTTAATTGAAAAAATAATATATAGAGGGGTATTATTGTAATTATTTCTAAATATATAAGATAAAATTATATTTTTTTTGGGTTGGGTCGAGTATTTTTCACCCTAAACCCGAATCCGTGCCGACTCAAATGTCACTTTAAAAAACATGATCTGATCCGAACGTTACCTTTAAAAAACCCGACCCGACCCCAAAAATTTTAAAAAACTCTAGACTGATCAGATCAAATCAGATCGAAACCCATCAAAAAATTTGGGTCCATACCCGTCCCTAGAGATTACCAAAGCACTTTTGGAGAGTCCTCTAACTGATTTGGACTCGAGAGCTTTGGGATATGATTTAGGGTAAAGTACACAAATGGTCATTCTATTATAAGATATTACTTTATTGAATCTCTAAACTACTAAAAGTTACAAAATGGTCATTCAATTATAGGATATTATTTTGTAGAGTCCCTCAACTATTAAAAGTTACAAAATGGTCACCCAACTAGTCATATATTTCAAACTCGTCCTTTTTCGTAAAAAAATTTATGGTCGTCTAAGTTGGACGTTAACATGCTGATTGAGATATGATTATCGTATGAGATTTTAAGATCATATTTTATCATATCACAATAAGCATGTTAAAGTTCAGCTTAGACTGACGTTAATTTTTTAACAGAAAATGATGAGTTTGGAACATATAAATAGTCGAGTGACCATTTGTAACTGTTAATAGCCGGATGACTCAACAAAGTAATGTACTACAATTGAAGGATCATTTTGTAACTTTTAATAGTCGGAAACTCAACAAAACATCACCTTATAGTCAGGGGATCATTTGTCTACTTTATCCTATGTTTTAACATAATTTTTAATTTTCATATAACTTTTTATTTAAATAAAAAAGTAATTGAAATTCAATTTAATAACATAAAATTTTAGTAAAATTTAATTTGATACCGTAATTCTAGGACCTTATATGCTAACTTTTTACGTATAATTTCCATCGAAAAACTTAATTAATAATATATAAATAAATACAAAGATATTTTTATAATTATCTCGAAGTGAGACAAATTCCCTTTAAATCTAAATCGATCTAACCCGAAATCCAAATTATCAAAATTTGTTGAATACTAATAATGTTGTTTTCCCCATTTTATAAACCCTTTAAAAGAAACTATTATTATTTAAATTAAAATAAAAAATTTAAAAATGATCAAATAAAACTATAGAGATTAAATTCGTTATTTATAGGAATGGATGCAGAATTTTATGCTAGAGATACGAAATTTTAAATTTTAAAAGAAACACCTGTCCTTACCTTCCCCATCCCTATTATTTACATAGAATAATAGAAAATTTGGAACGTTTCGAGAAACAGACAAGCGTGCTAAAAAAATCCCCATTTCAATTAAGAAAAAACAAAACAAAAGGGGGTTAGTTTAATTAAGAACCCCACATCATATGTAAACCAATAATCCTAATCTTGTTATTCATAGTATATAATTTTTTAATTTTTTCCGAATCAAATATTATAATATATTATTAAGATAATAAATCAAAGGGGTTAGTTTTACACCTAGTATTTCAGTAAATATCTTTACGTTTTTCATTGTTAATTTCAGTCTTTGATTTTCTCTCATTTAGTATAAAACTTTTTAGTTTTACAATTACGTAATGTAAAATTTTTAATTTTACACATTTTTAAGATCGTTGGATGAGAATAAATCAAATGCTGAGATTAACTCATTGTTTTTTTTTCAAATAAATATATTCACATTTCCTACTGTTAATCTCAGCCTTTGATTTTTCCTCGTTCAACGATCCTAAAAATGTATAAAACTAAAAAGTTTTACCCTATGTAATTGGATCATGCCCCTAAAAATATTTGTATATCTAATAAATTTTAAATTTTGTATATGAAATTAAAAAATTATATTATCGATTTATAAGAGCGAACTCGAATAAAACTAATATGAAATGAAAAAGAACATAAATAATCTTACACTTTTACCCAGTTTTCTAAACACGAATTATTAGCATAGTGATTAAATTAATAAAGGTCACATGCCTAGCTATTAAACAAAGTTTAAGCAGTACAAGTAGTCAGCTTTTGAAAACCCTAACCTTTGTCTTAGTGCGATAATCCGTACAAAACACGGATTATTATTCCTAATCTTGATTAATAAAATAAAATAGGGTAACCGACGGGTGTACGTGTTTTTTTATGTACTCACCGGGTGATATTAAAGATGACAATAAGTTAGATTAGGGTTGGTTTTTGATCGACTTTATTTAACTCGGTATTATACTTATAAAATCCGAATTAAATAATTAAGATTAACATTAAAAAAATAGATTTAATTTTTTTATTAATTCTGACCGAATTAAAATTGAAACTGTCATTAGAGAATTTAGTTTATTTAAATCGAATTAAATAGAAATTCATGTGATCCGGATTTTATTTTTCATATATCAGAAGGTGAGATTAAGCTTGTCTTTTAAGACAAAAATCTAGAAACAAGACCACCTGTCAATGGTGACGTTCGAAAAACATCAAAAACTGTTTGAATATTTTAATGTCCCCAATACCCAATATGGAATCCAACAATATTTAATTTTTTTATCATGGTTTTAGTGAAGATTAATTGAATCAATCCTTTTAACAAGCAAGCAAATCCAACACCTGTTCAGTTTTCATTTACTAATAAACATAAAACAATCATCCACTCACTTTTTATGCTAATTTTTTATTTCTTCCAAGATCATCACTCCGGTTCATCTAATATCGTAGTATGACATACGACATTCAAGAATTTAATTAAAATTACTTTAATGATAAAAAAATGTTATTCTCCTTATAAATTATACGTTTGGGATAATTGTATCACATATATTAAAATATCATTTTCCAAAAAAAATATAAATATATTTGTAATCACAATCATAATAATATTTATATATATCTTAATAGCTATAATCGGAATTAACTATTATAAAATATTATTACATATATATATTAAAATTACACAAATTATTAACATAAAAATTATTAAATTATTAATAGCGATGTGCATAAACCTTATGTTATACGTGGCGTAAAGCTATGATATTCTTCTTTTTCTTTTAATTTACCTTTTGTCTCCTTTTGGCATTAATTAAATATATGCTAATTGGATAATGTCACCCAATGCCTTGACATTCCCATTTTCATTTCAGTTCTATGATATTGATTATTTGATTTAATATCCTTTGGACACTTTCATTATAATCACAACTATAAGTTACTCGTATCAAAAATTGAAATTAATTATTTAAAATATATCAAATTTGTAGTCGAATTATATTCTTAGAAGTAAGGTCGGAATTATGTTTAAGCTATGAGAGATTATGTTGCTTAACTTTGAAACGAGTAAAATCTTAAGAAGTAATTAACTCGTAAACATTAAGGGAATTAGAGTTTAATCTCATTAATTCTAAAACTAATAAGGTAATTAAGTTATTTTTTAAAAGATCAATAACTTAATTATAATTGTTTTAAAATTTTGTCAAAGTCTGGTCGACTCGTCAAGTAAAAATTGAAATTATTGAAAAAAAAAATAGAAATCTCTGTCAAAGCCTCACCTATAAAGTGTTTTCGTCCATGCCTAGAAGATCTAAACACGATGTGATTTAAATCGGATTAAAATCTAGAAATAACACACACGAGGGTTACGTATAATGATAGTTGAGCCCGAATGTTCAAAAACTTGTTACTTCAACCGTTATCAACTCAGTCAAAGTTTCGTCGACTCGTCCTGTAAAATTTGAAAGTAGAAAACTTTTATATTGAGGCTACATTTGTCATTTACGAATGATAAGATGGTATCTTAATCTAATCTTAGAGATCAGCAGCTGTACCTTAAACAAAGAGAAAAGAAAGATGTGGGATGATTTTGAAAGTGATTGATTGGCCACCTTTACTCCCTATATAAATATAGGACACACTAACCCTCAGGAGGCAAACAACATTTGCTCTAAACTTGAGCTTCAAAAAGCATAATCAAAGGGTTTAAGGCTTTTGTTCTCCTTTTTGGGTCACTTTTTTCACATGTCTTGGGCAGTCATGGCTGGTCACTTTGGTTGGGGTCTCGTTGATGAAGGATGGAGAAAAGGTCCTTGGACTGCTGAAGAGGACAAGCTCCTTATCGAATATGTTAGGGTACACGGTGAAGGCCGATGGAACTCCGTCGCTAGGCTTGCCGGTAAGAGAAATAGGGTCTAAAAACCTGACTTATTCTTCAATAAGTTTAAGATTCCGAATCCTGACGCTATTACGTTTCAGGGTTAAACAGGAATGGAAAGAGTTGCAGGCTGAGGTGGGTGAATTATTTAAGGCCAGACCTTAAAAGGGGCCAAATAACCCCTCATGAAGAGAGTATAATTCTCGAGTTACATGCAAGGTGGGGGAACAGGTAATCTATCATATGAACATGAACTTTATATGAAATTAATCGTGTCGGATATGTATTCGTATCTGATATTCACACCGAAATTGTTTTCTTTAGGTGGTCGACGATCGCGAGAAGTTTGCCGGGAAGAACCGATAACGAGATCAAGAACTATTGGAGGACTCGTTTCAAGAAAAACACCAAACTTTCACCCGACAACAACTCTGATCATAAAACAAAAGCTCGTTTGCTGAAAAGACAACAGTTCCAACAACAACAGCTGCTGCTGCAACAACAACAACAACAAGAACAGGAACATTTACAGGTGAATCAGTTCGACATGAAAAGGATCATGTCTTTACTCGATGAAACTGAACATAAACCATCATCATCTGAACTTCCATATGTGCCACAGTTGAGACAAGAAACAGCGACAGCTGTTTCATACCCCAACACAAATGAACAACAAGTGGGGCTGTTTTATCCCATGATCGATGGCAATGCTTCCGGTTCCGGCAGCGACTCGTCAAACGAGGCCGACGTTCTTTGGGACGGTTTATGGAATTTGGACGATATCAATGGAAATCTTGGTGCAACTAGCAAAGTTAGTTTGCACAATCTATCAATCCCTTACTGTTAAATTCTCCTTAGTTTTCATTAGAAAAGCCTTTATACCTACGAAAAACTTTAGTCGGTAAATGTAGAACCTTAGATTGATAATCATGGTGTAAAATTTGCAAGTTAAGAGCATAATTATGGTGTAATCTTATCCTATAAATAAAATAATCCAATTTTGCTTCGAATAAAAGCATTTGTAGTAATGTTTAAGGTTAATTATAGTGTTGAATAGTAAGAAATTCTATGTTAAAGTTTTGTGTTTGATTCTTCTGAATCATATTAAGAGAATTTTACTTTTATTTAAAATTTTGATTTAACTCAACTGAGATATAATCGATTTTTATAAGACTACCGAACACACAAATTCCCAACACAAGATAAACACCATAAAATATCTCGATATTATCATGCGACTTAATAATTTTAAACTTTAAAATCATTTAGCATGATCAAAGTACAGATCTTTTAACTAATGGGTTCATTTTAAAATAATATTTAAAGTAAACTATATAAATGGTCACTAAATTTTTATAAAATAATCCTTTTGTCATTCAAGTTTTGAAAATTTTAATATAATCATTAAATTTATTAAATTATTATATAATAGTCATTAAATTTTATCAAACGTATAATACAAAATAATCATTGGGCTTATCAAACTATTACCAAATAATCCTTAAACTTATCAAAATTTATTATCTTTTTATAACAAATGATAACCATTTTGTAATAGTTTAATAAATTTAATACTAATTTTTATAATTTTTAGAACATCAACGATCAAATAAAAAAATAGTATAGAGTTGGAGAATCTGAACTTAGAACTCAAATCACTATGGGCACAACACATCACTTCTAAAATCCTTTGGCACACTTATGTTTTGTCTTTGCTGTCGGAATTCGACAAATTTTTCAACAATAAAATTCTTTTAATTATTCTCTCCTTGTTTATTATTTTTATTTTATTATTTTTTTCGCCTTCTTTCCATATCTGCCCCTGTGCAAAAGCATAAAATTAGTGCCAAAACAGCGAAGCATTTGCTTTTTTACTGTACAAATGAGATATAAAGTTTGAGAAAAAGGTAGAGATTGAAATTTGAATATTAAATGTCTTTGATGTCACATTTTAAAGGTTAAAGTGTTTGATTAGAGAGTATCATAAATTATTTAATGGTTTAGTGTGATTGTTATAGTAATTGAAGAATTTTGTTAGAAATATGTAACGGATTCTTGAAAATGTGTTGATTGTACAACTTATGTTCGGACTGCATTGCTACCAGTTACCGTGCATGCAGCATGGGGAAGTCGTTGTACAGTCAACATACTATTTAGAAATCATCGTGTAACCCTAATGAATTTTTCGGGTTAGTGTGTAACAATCACCGTGGATCATTATTGGTGTACCTTATTCAAGCAATTTTGCTCGTTTTAAAAGCAGTGATATAAATTAATCGAATTAAATTTTGAAGTTAAAGAAAAAAAAAATACTTATGTTCTATACAGACCCATGGAGATCGAAGGGCGTTGGATGGTTGCATTCTTAAAAAATTGATATTTCTATATAATTTAAGTTTATAAATTCTAAAATTTTATAATCTCGCACTTTCTAAATTTATAAAATAATTTTTTTAAAAGGTCATACCTTTATCAGAAAATCGTATATCCGTTGATAAATTTGAATATAGATTAAATTTTTTTTTCATGTATAAACTCGTTTTTTATCCATCTAAATAACTTTCTAGTAGTTCTTTGGGATTCTTGGAAGGTGGACAAGTTGAAATTCATTTTCAAAAAAGCAAAATTACACTTTATATCCCTCATGTTTTTAAAATATATTAAAAATTAGTAGTGAGTATCAGTGTATAACATGTATGTCGATGTATGACATCTGTTTTAAAATTTTTAATTAATCATATAATTATATATCGACACAAAAAATATAAATTTATAAATAAACACACTATAGGATAACAAAATGAATGTTAAAATTGTAATTTTGACTCAAAACACTTTCATACGAAAAAACTAGAAAATTTAATTATTGCATTTGAGTGGAGTATTTTTCAATCGTTTTTCTTTAAAAAAATGTATTTTCAATATTACTTCCGACTCCAAAAGGGCTTTTGGTTCCCAAAACACTTTCTAAAAATAATGCTAAATGAGGCCTAAATCAGACAGTCTTTAACCTTAAAACATAAAAAAATTCTTTTAACCACTTCAAAATTTCTAAAATTATAAGCTAATATAATGATAAAATTATATTTTAATCCTTAAAATTTTAAAATTTAATTTTAACTTAAATTAAATATTTGAGTTATTCTCTATTTAAAATTAAACAAATTAGATAAATAGTCTAATCTATAAACACATCTAATTTTAGGGGGATATTTAGCTAAGCATGATATGGATTATGGTTGATGAGGCTTAGGTCACATTGAAAACTAAAGGTTGGGAAGTAACACAAAAACAAAGTGGGTCTCAAATATATTAATTTAATAATAATAAATAAAATGATAAAAGATTAGAAGTAGATTCTCTCTTGATTGCATTAATCTCCTATGTTATCTTTTTCTGATTGCCTTTTTCTTGTGTTACAAAAATATTTATCACATAATTATATATATAGGCTTGTCATTTTCCTAGGATCCGTGCTACACTAGTCTATATATATGCTTAGCTAGTAAGTAGACAAGTTAATCTTAATCCACCTAATTCAACATAAAATATACTTATTTCCATATGATTTTATGTAGAGGCTAATTTTTAAAAATTCTAAGAAAATGTACTTATAAAATTATAGGGACGAAAATAAATTATCAATTGAAATTATAAAAATTTATATATATATATGTATGTGTGATTACAATATAATATATATTCAAAAAAATTCTTAGTACATGACAAAACATACATACTGTATAACTGCTCAAACTTAAATCTTTTAGGGAGAACAATATTTTCTTTTATCATTAAAACTATTTGACGAATTCAATAATATTATATTGAAATTAACTTCTTTGTAAAAATTAAAAAAAAATCTTTTTTCAAAATATTGAATATTTTTTAATAAAAAATAAGGGTAAAGTATACAAATGGTCATTCGACTATAGAGTGATGCTTTGTTGAATCTCCCGATTATTATAAGTTACAAAATGATCATTCGAATATAGGATGTTATTTGATTAAGTCCCTCGAATATTAAAAGTTAAAAAATGGTCACCCGACTATTTATATATTCCAAACTCATCATTTCTTGTTAAAAGTTTGATGATCATCTAAGCTGGACGTTAACCTATTGATTGAGATATGATAAAATCATATTTTAATAATGTTTACTGGTATTGTAGTTGCTTTCAAGCACCTACTCAATAATATAATATTTCAAGTATTGACTCGACAATATAATATAAACGGAGAGTCGATCCATAAAATACAACTCATGTGGTTCTAAAATCAAATTTTATCATATCTCAGTCAACAGGTTAATGTCGAGCTCAAAAGACCGTCAATTTTTAAAGGGAAAGGGACGGTTTTGGGACATATGAATAGTGCGGTGATCATTTTATAACTTTTAATAATCAAAGGACCCAACAAAAATAATATCATATAGTTGATTGATCGTTTTATAACTTTTAATAGTTGAATGACTCAATAAAACAATGTATTATAGTCAGAAACTATTTGTGTACTTTACCAAAAAAATTAATATGAGTTAATTAATCGATAATTCATATATAGGTAATTAACAAAATAATAATAATAATAATAATAATAAAAGGGGGAAAACACCAAAATAAATCAATAAAAACAAAAGAAGATTGAAAAAGCAAAAGCACGTGGATACGGAAATGCAGTACAATCCGTGCTTGCTTTAGTGGTTAGGTGTGTCTCACTTCATTTTCTCTATATAAAGTTGAAAGCATAAAGCATATATCTCTTATTTTATCATTCTATTTCAAATCAATAATCCCATGCTCAAGATTTGAGCTTTGATTCTCTTTTTCTATGTTGCATTGCAAACATCATGTATTTCTTAAACAATAACAGAAGCAAATAACATTTTAAAACTCATTTATCAAACAAATCGAACACATATTCAGTTTATTTATATTTTTAAATAATCTCGTTTATGTTTATTGTAATTTTGTTTAGAGTTTATTTATTTTTATAATGAAATATTTGATTTTCAATCCAGACATGTTCGAGAGAGGGACATTGCTCAAGAAAGGAATAAGGATGAATACGAATTTCTTCATTCAAGAATCCTCGATAGGACACCAAGCGTCCCAAGTCAAAATGAAAGGAATGTTGTTGAGGGGCAAGCCCCAAAAGCTCCCTGGGCCAAAATCAATACAGATGGTGCTCACAAGACCCTAACGGGAGAGGCAACATGTGGAGGAACCATAGAGGATAATAGATGATCGGTTTCGCTAAAAGAATTAGCTACTATTCCTCATTTCTAATTAATAGTGGACCATCACCATCTATTTTAATTTTATATTTTAAATTATTTTATCTTAAATAATAATAAAAAATATCACATCATACTAAAATAATAATAAAATAATTTAGAGTGACCAAAACATGAGCAAATCAAAAGTTTAATGAGTAAATTAAAAAAATTAAAAGTACAATGAATAAAATAGGAAAGAAAATAAAATTCACTGAGAAATGATGTAGTTTACTTTTAATAAAAAGGTAAAAATATATATTTTAAAAATCTTAGTTTTTAAATTCATAAATTAATTTGAGTTATTTAAAATAATTATATTTAAAATTTGAAAATTTTGCCCACCAAAAACTAATAACCGATAAATTTAGTGTGACGGAGGACATGTTTTTCTATTTTATACTTCGATTTCATTATACTTTTTGAATTGAGATTATACAACTAAGTTTGAATCACATCTGACTAACTTTAATAATTTTATTTATATATTTATTAAAATATAAAAACACAAATAAATCTTACAAAAATATTTGTTAGATTTAAAATATGAATTATCAACAATCATTTAATTTAAAGGGATAAAGTTTTATATCTTTTAAGTAAAATTAAAGATTTAAATTTTAATGTCGTGAATGAAATAAGTTGGGTTAAGAGGATCTTATACATTAGGTTTCTATATTATCCAATTTGAATTAATCAATTAACCAATTAGATATTGGTAATTAATAAAAAGATTAAAAATATATTTATAATTATAAACTGAACATCAAACTCGATCAGAATTTTATTTTATTATTATTATTGGATATTTTATTATGTAGGGGTAATCATTTAGTAAAGTCAAACCAAGTCAAAAAAATTCGAGTTTATGAGTTCTATTTTATAACTCAAACTTGATTTAAAATTCTTTATTGAGTTTATGAATTTCAAATTTAGTTATTTGAGTTTCTGTTTAAATTTAATTATAAATATTTATAATATTATGGTATCATTTTATTTCAATTTAAATGACTTTCTACAACCATATATAATATATATATATTATTCATATTTTTTAAATGTGATAAACATATATCATGTAGAGTTGAAAGATTCAACTCGAACTTAAAAATTAATATACTAATTACTAAAATTTTCAAGTTATTCAAATGATATATTTTAATTCAAACTTTATTTTAAATTTTTTAAAATTATAATTCAAATCGAAAATTCAAATTTTTAAAATCAAATTAAATTTTACTACCTTGAAATATTATTTGATTGATTTTTATATAAATATTATATAAATATATATGTACCTCATCGACATATTAAATACTTTCAATCTTTACAGGTTCTAACATATCACCGCCAAAATTCAAATCCGAATGATATTCTTCCCCCTTACCCGCAACTTACTTTCTTTGAAAACCAGCCGCTATTACTCATCCGACTCGCCTTTCAATCTCCTACATTTCCTTAATCTCTCATCCACCCATGAATCTCTCCACCTCACCAAGCAAGCCCAAGCTCGAATCCTCTTACACGGGTTCACGCAAAACCCTTTTACAGCATCAAAGCTCATCTCTTTACTCCTCTTTAGGGCATTTAACCGAGTCGAAAACTGTTTTCGATTCGATAAAAGACAAGAATGTTTATCTTTGGAATTCGATGATCAATGGGTATCTCAAAACTTACTCATACGTTGAAGCTTTTGATTTGTTCCGTGAAATGGGTCGTTTTAGTGTGAAGTCTGATGGTTTTACATTGGCAACGGTTTCGAAAGTTGTTGGGGAAATCAGGGACTTGGCAGCGGGTAAATTGGTTCATTGCCAGAGTATAAAAACTGGGTTCGTGGTGGATATTGTTGTTTCGAATTCTTTGATTTTGATGTACGGAAAATGTGGAGAGTTTGAGGCGATGAAGAAAGTGTTCGACGAAATGCGTGAGAGAAATGTGGGGTCTTGGAATGCATTGGTTTCAGGTTATTCGAATTCAGGGGACTGGGAATTGATGAAGGATCTGTGGGAAGTTGTTAAAAATATGCAACTTGAAGGAATGAAACTCGATGGATTCACGATTTCGAGCCTTTTGCCCTTGAGTGGGGGTGAGGGTAATTGGGGATGTAATTACGGGAGGGAACTCCATTGTTATATTCTTAAGAATGAACTGTATTCGGGCTTCGGTTCAGATGTTCATTTGGGTTGTTGTTTAGTTGATATGTACTCAAAAAGCGGTAAAGTTTCAGTGGGTAGAAATGTTTTTGATAGAATGTGGTTTAGAAATGTTTATGCTTGGACAGCAATGATCAATGGTTACATCGAAAACGGAGATTTCGATGAAGCACTTGTTCTTTTTCAGGAAATGCAGTTGAATGATGGAATAGAACCCAATAAAGTGTCTCTAGTGAGTGTTCTTCCCGCTTGTAGCTCCTATGCTGGTTTAATGCTTGGGAAACAGATTCATGGTTACACAATTAGAAAAGAACTGACCACTGATATCGCTTTGTGTAATGCATTGATTGACATGTATTCGAAATGTGGGAGCCTGACTAGTGCGAGGCAAGTTTTTGATAAAGGTTCGTTCCATAAAGACGCCATATCTTGGAGTTCAATGATTTGTGGATATGGATTACACGGAATGGGTGAAGAAGCCATAAGTCTGTATAACCAGATGCTTTTTCTTGGGAATAAACCAGATATGATAACAGTGGTAGGGGTGCTTTCTGCTTGTAGTAGATCAGGATTGGTAAAAGAAGGTCTTCGACTTTATAACAAAATAACAAACGAATATGGGATGAAGCCAACGGTTGAGATCTGTGCTTGTGTTGTCGACATGCTTGGTCGATCCGGACAGCTTGATCGAGCACTAGATTTTATAAAAAAAATGCCAGTTGAACCGGGGCCAAGCGTTTGGGGTGCTCTTGTTAATGCTTCTGTGATGCACGGGAATACCAAGATGCAAGAACTTGCTCATAGGTTTCTCATTTATTTAGAACCCGAAAACCCTTCAAATTATGTCTCACTTTCGAATTTACATGCCTCTACTAAAAGATGGGATGCCGTGGCAGGATTAAGAAAAATGATGAAGGAAAAGGGTTTGAAGAAGGCACCTGGGTGTAGCTGGATTAGCATCAATGGCAACACCCATTGCTTTAATGTGGCCGATAAGGCACATCCCCATTCTACTTCGATTTATGAGATGCTTGATGATCTAATATTTATAATTAAAGAAGACGGTTGATCAATATGATGACTGAATATTCATGAGATGCTTCGATTTATGTGGCCGATTATTGATGAATGTTTATATACACAATTGAATATCAATGTATTTGAAGAACAAGCAAACGCTTAATATGATGATTGTGATATGATCATGATACGAAATATGAATATTGAATGTGAAATATTTGTGGACTCGTACATGTATTTATATATTTATATGGCCTGTTAAATGGTGAACTATTATCAATTGTTTTATGCTTATAACATGTTTTGAATAATTATTTTTATCTATTTCATGTAGTATAGCAGATTAATTGTATATTATTGAGCTTCGTAAAACTTAATGTTCAGAATTAATTCAATGACCAAAATGATTATATATATATATTTCGTGAAAAATAATATTGGCATAATGCCAAAATTAACACTCCAACGTTTATCAAAATGGTCATTTTGACTCATATTATTTTTGGAGCATTTTGGTAATTATCGTTTCTTTTTAGGGCAAAAAGACCACTAATATTTGACTGAATAGTCACTTCGACTGTTATTCTTTTTTTCTACAGCATTTTGAACCTAATATTTCATTTTATGGTAAAAAGGACCCATATTTTAGAACGTTGATCGTTTGTTAATTAACGATTTTCATCATTGAGAGATATTTTTGTACCAAAATGAAATGTTGGGGTCAAAATGTTCCAGAAAAAAGTGCAATGGTCAAAATGATAATTTTAATAAACATTGAGGGTTAATTTTAACATTAAGCCAATAATATTTTATAAATTTTCCATAAAATATTTTCTTACCTATAAAAGTAGACTAAAAAATGATTTGAAAAGTCTTCCTTTTGTCCAAAGTCTTTCTATATAAACTATCTTCACTTATTCCACGCAGCGCCCATAACTTTACTTAAACCTTTATTTCCTGTCATTTCCTTCTTTAATATCTCCGGCAATGGGCCGCCGACTACATATGCAACAAGTTCACTGATGCCTCCTTCGCAGTTTACAACACTTACCTTCTCTTCTCAGCCTACCTCGTCTTCTCTATGCAACTTCGGCTTCGCCATGCTCGTGCCGGCTCAGTCCTAGCCAAAGAAACCATGAATATCAATGTTAACCAATGTCCTCGATGAGGCCACCGGCGGCCTGTTTTACTACTTTTTTGGCTTAGCCTTTGCCTTCGGGTTTACCTTTTATTACCTTTTTGACAAATCATAACATATATATAAGTTAAAAATTATAAAATCAAGTGAAACAAAATGATTTAAATCAACTACAACATAATACTTAAGATAAAACATATTAAATAATAAATATAATTATATAACTATAATTAAAAAAAAATATGGGGCTAAAAAAATCATACTAAAATGATATTGTTTAGTTTAATTTTTTTAAAAAACAATCACGCATGGTTAAGAAACATATAAGAACATCCCAAAAGTCTAAAGAGTAAAAATATGAGAACAAAACAATCTCACGTGACTAAGAAACATAGAAGAGCATCCCAACTAACTTCTATAAATAATAGAGGTAATTTGACATTCAAAATCATAAAGACTTTTGGTGAGCATTGAGTGAACTATTCTTTCACTTCAATTAAGCTCGAATTTTAGGCTTCAATTGAGCTTCTAATTTTTTTTAGTTCAAACCTTTTCGAGTTCAAGTTTCAATATTATATTTCGAGTTCGAGTTGAACTTGATAATTTTTAGCTCGTGAATTTGAGTCGAGTTGAGCTTACTTTTAAAGTTTTCAAGTTCGAGTCGAGTTCAGTAATACTTGAGTTCGATTTGGCTCGTTTAACAAACGACGTCGTTTGGTTTAATTTTTTTTAACAAAATCAAAATTGCGTTTTTTTTTCGGTTTTCAACCGGTTCGGTTCGAACGGTTCAGTGGTTCTGGCCGGTTCACTAATAACGATTCAACCGGTATAAATTGAACTGGATTAGACAGTGATTTCCGGTTGAACCAATTGAACCGACCGATCCGATCCGGTTTTTAAAACAATGATTACAGTAATTTCCTTTATCAATGTGCTTTTTCCATTGCGGCTGCCGGAATTACCAGCGGTTCCATTGCTGAAAGAACCCAGTTCGTCGCTTATCTTATATACTCATCCTTCTTGACCGGTTTCGTTTACCCCGTTGTTTCTCATTGGTTTTGGGCGACTGATGGTTGGGCCAGTGCTTTTGGAACCGATAATGGTTTCCTTTTCGGTAGTGGCGTCATAGATTTCGCCGGCTCTGGCGTTGTTCATATCGTCGGAGGTGTTGCCTGATTATGGGGCGCTCTTATTGAAGGACCGATGATCGGTCAGTTCGATCATACGGGTAGATCGGTAGCTTTGCGTGGTCATAGTGCGACTCTTGTTGTTCTTGGAACTTTCATGCTTTGGTTCGGTTGATACGGGTTCAACTCCGGTTCGTTTAACAAAATCTCGAGTATTTACACTTCCAGTAACTATTACGGCAATAATTTTATATGATTTCATGATGTTTATGCGTTGTCATATACTAAAAAATTCATAAACTAATATTATTTTATAATCACTTTAACTATTCAAAATAAATTTTTTAATTATTATAAGTAACAATAATTTTTAATTATTTTTTTAAAATAAAAATATTTTATAATAATTTTAAATATTATTTTTAGAATGTTCAACTCTAAATATAATTTTAGGTGTGGACCCGAACTCTAAATATTATTCTTAATTTATGTAGCATGAGATCTTAATATTATAAGTTTTGTCATATTTTGATTTAATGTCAGTTTTATAAACAAAAATTATGTTTGGGTTTAGGCATGATATAATTTTATAATTATCCCTTATATGAGTATTAAAGATAATTATAATAATATTTATTTACCTATATATTTTTCAATTAAGTCTTTATTTTATCGAATAAAAATGAGATTAGACATACACTTGTCTTGGGTTGAATATAGGTTTTTACCCCAAAAAATTAGGTAGAGTTAAAGTGCGAGTGAAGCCTACTTAAACTTGGGTTTGATCGGATAACATGTGAAAGAGTATAATATTAGATTCAATCAAAACCCAATTCAACCTTGACACCTACCTATTGTAAATCTAAGTTATCTTTTTGCCAAAATAGGTATCTAAAGTATATTATTTGTTTAGAATCTAAAGTATCGCATGTATATCTTACAAATACACATGCTTGAATCCAAGAAATTAAAAAAAATACTTCCTTTAATTATTGAGATTGTGCTATTAAATTTTCTTTATAACATATTTTTAAAATAATTATTAAAGAATATTATCATTCTAACTTTTTAACTGGATTACTCATAAATTTGATTTAAATTTTATCATATGTGATCCATTTAAGAATATCATAAATTAATATTTATATCATCTATTTATTTAAATCTTAAAATTTAAATTTCAAATAAGATGTAAATCATCAAAATAGATCTTAGCTTAACACATAATATGTAAGTTGATTCCTCCTTGGCCAAACCGACAAGCAACTCTTCAAGGAAAATATTCTCATTGTTGCTTGTGAATATCTCAAGCCTTACATTGATCGGATTGGTAACGGAGTCTTTCGGGACGAATATAAGATTTTATTTTAAAGAACGAACGTATAAAATTTAGAGATAATATAAATTTATAAAATTTTAGAGAATAAAGATAAATTATTAATAAAAAATACATAAAAATTTAAAATATATAAGAATTTAAAAATTTTAGGAACGACCATCCCCTCGATCCAAACCTGAAGTTATCTTCATAATTACTTAACCTTCACTGTGTTGTAATGGTATGGATTTCTTTGCTTTTGTGTAAATGAATTGGATTTTGGTGGGTGAGGACGATAATGATCAAACGGCTGCCATTGCCAACACTTTTTATGCAAGTAGTAATTTTATTAAAAAAATTGAAGTTAAGAGTGACGATTTATAATCATAAGGGTAAATTAAATATATAATTAGTACATCTTCTTTTTCTCTTATAAAGAGCATTTTATACGGTTTTTATTCTATAACACATATAAAACATCGCATATGGAATGGATTGAATAAAACGATCCTACATTGACCATACTCCACCGCATCATCCAACTCATACAGATCTTAAAGTGGCATTTGATTGGATGAAATCCTTTGAAATTGGAAGAATTAGAATCCAATTCTCTCAATTTCTCATGTTTGATTCAAAATTTTCAAGGGAATTGAAATCCCTCGTGGCTTCAACTTTTCATCAAATGAGGGAAAGTGAATTCCATCCAAAAATGGATGGAATTCAATTCCCTTGTTGGAGGGAATTGAAATTTGATCATACTACCCTCATCAATCTTTTGGTAACTTATTCATATATTGAATAAAAATATTTTTTTATTATTTCGGGCCGGTTTTCTAATTCATATATTCGGGTCGGGTTGGGTGAAACTTTATTTTGGTTAGGTCGGGTCAGTTTTTTTAAGTGTGATATTCGGGTCGGGTCGAGTTCGGGTTTAGGGTGAAAAATACCTGACTCGAAAATATATATAGTTTTACCTTATATAGTTAGGAATAATTACAATAATACCCCTCTCTATATTTTTTTTTCAATTAAGTCACTGTTTTTATTGAATAAAAATATTTTTTTATTATTTCAGGTCGGGTCGAATATCTAATTCATATATTCGGGTCGGGTCGGGTGAAACTTTATTTTTTTGGGTCGGGTTCGGGTTTAGGGTAAAAAAAACCGGACCGACCCGAAAAAAATATATATAATTTTACATATATATTTAGGAATAATTATAATAATACCCCTCTATATATATTTTTTTTCAATTAAGTCAATGTTTTTATTGAATAAAAATAATTTTATTATTATTTTGTGTCGTGTCGGGTTTCTAATTTATATATTGAATAAAAATAGTTTTTGGTATATTTTTTGATAACTAATTAACATACTCCGATTGTAATGTATCAAAATATTGCTCTATCTTTTGGTAACTTATTAACATATTTTGATTGCGATGATTTTAACTTATGATGTTT